GTGCCTGGGGCCGGCGCTTTCCCCATCCCCCGCCGATGCTCCCCGCAAGCGCTGCGCCATGTGCCCGGGGCCAGGCCAGCCCCAAGCACCTGGCGGGCGCATGCAAATGCCCCCGCGGGCGCCATGGTGCCCATGGGCACCATGTTGGGGACCACAGTTCTAGATATACTCCAGTGTAAGGTACACCGACGTTAAAATCATTATTATAATACTTTGATGCTCACAGGGATCCATGATTGGTTCCATGCTTACTCTACTGTGGTGTCTGCATGGATTACCAGGGGGAAAAAAAGGGTTAAAAAAAAAACCAGTTGACACTGCTTTCAAATGCGGGAGGAGAGGAGTGCATTATGGGACACCGACGACATGTATCCAGAACCACCTGCTGTACAGTTCTGGTCTCAACATGCACTGGGAGCATAACCCAAAATGCAAAAGGGAGCAGGAACTGTGGAATAGCTACCCACAATGCATCACTCTCAAAGTTGACAATAGCCACCTTCCTGGGAATGTACTACTTCGAATTGCACAGTAGGAACATGCACCTTCGACTTTACAAAATAAGGAGCTAAAAATCAACCTTATTTCTCAGCCTAGACAAGGCCTGAGTGTTTGTCAGGAACCCACTTAAGCTAGAGTTTCCATTGTCTGTTAGTTAGAGACCTAAAATATGTCTATACTGTAGCCCTTTTGCGGAAAAGCACATGCAAATGAAGCACGGCGTGAAATATTGCCAAGCTTCATTTGCATAAGTAATAAGCAGCCGTTTTTGTGCAAGAGGCTTTTGCGCAAAAAGGAGCTGTGTAGACATCTCCTTTTCGCGCAAAAACGCCCTCCTGTGCAAGAGCCATTCTTCCTCAAAAAAATGAGCTTCATTTGCATATGCTTTTCCGCAAGAAGGTTACAGTATAGACGTAGCCCTAGAGTACTTGGTTTTGAGCTCATAGTACCAAACAACTGAAGGGGACTGGTATATCACATTATTTCTAGTGATGTTCTTTAGTGAGAATGATTACAATATTTTTAGTTGTTATTCAGAAGGACTTTTATCAAAATATTGGAAGTAATTTAAAAAAGTCAAATCTTTTCACCTAACTGAATTATTTATCAAAAGGGGAAGACTATTACATAATGGTAAGATCATAACACCTTGAGTCTTGAGACTTGGATTGTAATTCTGTCACTGATACATTATGACTTTGGGAAAAATCACTTAATGCCACTGTGTTTCACTTCATTGTAAAATGAAGATGTGTTACTTTTCTCATCAGATGGGAAATTAGGGGGTGAAAAGCTAAATATAGTATTGATTATAAAACAATTTGAGAAGCACGAATAGAAGTTTCTATAGAAGTGTAAATGATTATTCATTAGAACTCACCAGTACAAAGCAATATGATCATAATGCACATAGGCAATTTAAAGCATATGCACAAGTCCATCGCTTTTCAGGTGCTTAAGTGTTCTGAATCAAACTGTCATTATCATTCATTCACTTTTTAAAAAGCTTTATAGTATACTTTGAATGGCTAACACCTATGGAAGTGTTTCTTAAACCGGGCTGTGGATCCACTTTGGGAAAGTCATTAGCGGACCCGATGCCACTTTATTTACCTAAAGCTTCATAGTCATGGAACCTCGTAGGTCCCATTGGCTCCCCGCTGTTTCCAGCCAACAGGAGCCATGGAAAGCAGTCTCTCTGGTGTGGGCCCACTAGTGGCTTTCCCAAAGTAGGCCTGCAGCCCACTTCAACAAACACTGGCCTATGGTTAAACCTTTCCTAATCCAGAAATGGTGATGTGACAGGAATTCTGAGGGTAGTAACGGTATCATCTATGTCAAGTGGCTAAATTAACACTATTCTTTGTAAATTTATATTTGAGTGAATAATTAAACACAATATTTTTTTAAAAAATCTAGTAATAATATTAAGAATAAAAATATACATTACCTTGCATCTTTTTCATAAAGTGTTTTTGGCAGAAGATCTTTATCTACATATACTGTATTGGGATAGTACCAGACTGTAAAACGTGTATCCTGGAGTCCACAAAGTATGTTGGATGTGTCATTCCAAGCTAAAGTGTGCACCATTGTTCCTTAATTTAAAGATAAACAAATATTATGTATGTGTACATACACAATAAACACATAGTAAACATTCTAGGAATTTTGCTAACAACAAGAGTGGCCATAGCAGATCATCAACAACTACATTAAAAAAAGCTGTTTTTTTAAATTCCTACATGAGTTAGTTGCAATTTAGTCTTAAAAACATTAATTATAGAAAGTAATTTCCCTATTCTGTCTTTTTCTGATATTTCTATTACTGTTTCTAATGTATATAGAGTCAAAATAGCTCAGTTTTGTTTACTGCTGAACTGTTAACTAGAACATTCACAATCTGAGAGCACTGTCTATTTTTTAATTGTTTCTGCACAAATTATAGAGAAAGTTCATACACTGTATTTTTTTAGGACACAATGGCTGTGTCTACATTGGCACACTTTTCCGGAAAAGGGATGCTAATGAAACACTGCGGAATTGCAAATGCCACGGGGGATTTAAATATCCCCCGCGGCATTTGCATGAACATGGCTGCCGCTTTTTTCTCCAGCTCGGGGCTTTGCCAGAGAAAAGCGCCAGTCTAGACAGGATCTTTCGGAAAATAAAGCCTTTTCTGGAAGATCCCTTATTCCTCTTAAAATCAGGAATAAGGGATCTTCCGGAAAAGGCTTTATTTTCTGAAAGATCCCGTCTAGACTGGCGCTTTTCTCCGGCAAAGCCCGGAACTGGAAAAAAGCGGCAGCCATGTTCATGCAAATGTCTCATTAGCATCCCTTTTCCGGAAAAGGGTGCCAATGTAGACACAGCCAATGAGTAAGAGTGACCAGAATATAGCTTGGGAAGTTATTAGATGACCACAGTACCGGACAAATTAGTTGAAACTATTATAAATAACAGGATTGTCAGACACATAGATGAACATAATTTGTTGGGGATAAGTCAACATGGTTTTGGTAAAGGGAAATCAGGTTATTTAAATCCCCCACGGCATTTGCAATTCCGACTGGTCTCATTAGCATCCCTTTTCCGGAAAAGGGTGCCAATGTAGACACAGCCAATGAGTAAGAGTGACCAGAATATAGCTTGGGAAGTTATTAGATGACCACAGTACCGGACAAATTAGTTGAAACTATTATAAATAACAGGATTGTCAGACACATAGATGAACATAATTTGTTGGGGATAAGTCAACATGGTTTTGGTAAAGGGAAATCATGCCTTACTAATCTACTAGAGCTCTTTGAGGGCATGTGGACAAGGGGAATCTAGTGGATATAGTGCACTTAGATTTCCAGAAAGCCTTTAGAAAGGTCCCTCACCAAAAGGCTCTTAAGTAAAGTAAACTGTCACAGGATAAGAGGGAAGGTCCTCTCATGGATTGATAATTGGTTAGAAGAGAGGAAACAAAGGGTAGGAATAAACGGATAGTTTTCAGAATGAAGACAGGTAACTAGTGGTGTCCCCCAAAAATCTGTACTGGGACCAATTCTATTCAACATATTTATAAATGATCTGGAGAAAGGAGTAAGCAGTGAGGTAGCAAAATTTGAAGATGGCACTAAACTGCTCAAGATAGTTAAGAACAATGCAGAGTGCGAAGAGTGTCAAAAGGATCTCACAAAACTAGATGTTTGGGCAACAAAATGGCACATGAATTTTAATGTTGATAAATGCAAAGTAGCGCACATTGGAAAAAATAATCCCAACTATACATACAAAATGATGGGGATTAATTTAGCTATTAACACTCAAGAGAGATCTTGGAGTCATTGTGGACAGTTCTCTGAAAACTTCCACTCAATGTGCAGCAGCAATTGAAAAAAGCAAACACAATATTAGGAATCATTAAAAAAAGGATAGAAAATAAGACAGAGACTATCTTATTGCCTCTATATAAATCCATGGTATGCCCACATCTGGAATACTGCAGGTGGATGTGACACACCTCATCTCAAAAAGATACCTCGGCATTAAAAAAGGTTCAGAAAAGGGCAACAAAAATAATTAGGGGTTTGGAACACATGATATATGAAGAGCGATTAAAAAGACTGGGACTTTTCAGCTTAGAAAAGAGGCGACTAAGGGGGGAGACATGACAGATGTCTATATAATCATGACAAGTGTGGAGAAAGTGAATAAAGAAAAGTCATTTACTTGTTTCCATAAGAACTAGAGGTCCTCAAATGAAATAACAGGTTGGACCTGACGAGTCCTAATCGAAGGGATTTGCTGGACCAGGGATGGTCCCTCCCAAGATGGCCCATGATGAACTCCTGCCCCTTGCTAGGGCTACAGCCTCACACTGCAGCTGTCTGCCTGGATGTGGCTCTCCAGCCTGGAGCTGTCTACTTGACGCTGCCTGACCTGAATCCATGGCCAGAGCGCCAGGGCTGGAGCTCTGCAGCCACTGCTGAGCCCTGGTAGCTTCTGGGGTCAACTCTTTGCAGGGGGCAGAACTCTTTGCTGTGCTACCAGCCCCTCCACATCCCCTCCCCTGCACAGGGCTCCTAGCTGAGTCGCCGGCCCCCATGCCATGCTCCTGTTCCACGGCCTGACCTCCCTATACCTGGGCTCTGTGGTCCAGGAACATCCCTGGTACTGCCGGACCATGAATGTTGCTGGACCAGACAGTCCCAGTTAAGGGAGTTAACCTGTAACAGGTGGCAGGTTTATAACAAACAAAAGGAAGTTTTCCTTCATGCAGTGAATAGTCACCTGTGAAACTCCTTTCCACAGGATGTTGTCAAGACCGGAAATTTAACAGGGTTCAAAAAAGAGCTAGATAAATTCATGAAGCTTAGGTTCATCTATATTAGGGTGGCAAACCTGTTACAGATGAAGAGCCAATATAGTGGTGGATACAGCACAAAATGCCAAGGGAAAAGTTGTTGAGCTTAATTTAAAAAAAAAAAAAAAAAAAGCGCAGCCCCGGCCACCGCCCTTTTAAGAGCAGAGCAGGCATTGCACTTTTAAGGTGGCCACTTGGAAGGCGGCCGTGAGTCCAGCTCTGTCTCCTTCAAACAGAAACACGCTGTCCCTTTCAGAGCCGTGAGTGCCACAATTTTTTCTTTGAAGAGCCATGGGTTGGCCATCCCTCAACTATATTTATTAGACAGAATGGGTAGGAATGGTGCCCCTAGCCTCTGTTTGTCAGAAGTTGGAAATGGATTAAAGGAGAGAGATCACTTGATGATTACTTGTTCCGTTCCCTCTCTCTGGGGAATCTGGCATTGGCCATTGTCAGAAGACAGGATACTGAACTAGATGAACCTTTGGTCTGACCCAGTAAGGCCATTCTTATCTTCACATCACTTTTTCCAGAACTGCACCTTTTATTTAACAATATCATGTTTCTAATGGTGGAGATTATGAAGAAAACCTTCTGAATGAAGTGCTATCAGAATCTGCATTGAAACAGCATATATGCAACAACTCTAATGGACATGTGGACTTCTCTCATAATTCTCTTTGTGTTTCTCACTCTGAAATGTAGTGATGACAGTTTAAATGCCACCACTTCCCTATTTAACTACTGAGGTAATGTGTTTATTCAGTGTAGTTAGATAAACAGAAGTTAGAAATGGAAATTACATTTGCTTATTTTACCTATCCTAAGGAGCCACAGTAAGATTGCAACCTACATCGTATTCCCCAGTGTTCTTTCAAGTCAAATTTTAAATTAATCAAATTATAGAGCTTCTAACACTTGTTGCACATAAAATACCTGAACTGCCAGAATGTAGATCAATGTAATCTAGGGTTGGTTCTTACCAATTTTGATAACTTTCTGTTCTTTCCCAAATCTCTTCACTGATGTGATATAAAGATCTCTGTTTTTATCAATAAAAGCAATTTTTCTCTCATTTGTAAGTCCCTTCTGATCAAGGGCAATCTCAGTGATGTCTGTCTAAAATACAAACAGAAAACACTTGGTATGCCAGATAGAGCCATGATTCCTCTTATATGCTACATTAAAAAAAAGGATGGTCCATTTAAAAAACGTAACATACATTATTACTGTTCAACAATTGAATTTCTTAAAATTCCTGGTATGTATGGCCTAGTCCCAGAATTATTTTATTTAAGCGTGTAGCATTACAGAAGTTAATTTCTTACAACATTAATATAATCATCCATTAGCAGCACAGTCTGTTATATTGCAGGAGTACCAAGGCTGGAAAAGCCTCTTGAAAAGCTGAAGGAAAAATAAATACAAAGCAGCGTAAAGGAAGAGAAGGAGCCCTTGTGCCTCTTGCACAGAAATGCTCTCACTACAGGATATCTATTCCACTGACTGCAAGTTCTTTCTTATACTGCTAAGAAGAAAGTGGAGAGAAGAAACAAGATTATGTCCCCAAGGTAATGTCTTTTCTTCAACCACTGAAGACCGAAAGATTGAGCATGGAGACCAACAGAACTATTTCTTCTTTCCTCTCTCCTGACAGCAGAACAAAGAAATAGTGCAAAGGACTTCATTGCTGAGATGGGCTACGTCTAGATTACAGGCTCATTTCGGAAGAAGCTTTTTTTGGAAGAGATCTTCCAAAAAAACTTCTTCCAAAAGAGAGCGTCCACACTGCAAAAGTGCATCGAAAAAAACTATCTGCTTTTTTGAGTGTCCAGACTGAATGGATGCTCTCTCGCATGTAAGCTGTGATTGCTATGGACAGAATGGCCACAAGGGCACCTGTGCTTTTTCCTCTTCTTTCGAAAGAACTCCCTCACATGCCTTTTTCCAAACGAGCTCTTTCGCAAAAAGGCTTCTTCCTTGTAGAATGAGGATTACGAATGCCAGAAAAACCCTTCTGTTCTTTCAATTTTCTTGTGGAAGAACGCAATTGCAGTGTGGACAGCCATTTTTCTGACAAAACTGTAGACATACTCAGTCAGGTGCTGATCAAGTGACTTTGGACTGTAAGGAATTCAAGTGGTCACTTAACTGTAACATATGACAGACTGTAGCTCTCCCTTAGCAGTATTCCTCTGAGACTCTCCTGAACCTCACTTTGATCTCTTGGGCATGTGAATTATAAGAATTATACCAAGTCAAGGTTTCCAATTTATATCCTACAATTGTGTATGTCAACACAGTACATACGTCAGTCTAATGTATGCTGTACTATAAAAGATTTACATTAGTCAAATATTTTCTATTAAGTATTATAGTAACTCTCTCATAGTTACTTCTTCTAGATTATTAATAAAAGATGCAGTTTGAAAGGTGAAGTTACAGAATGAACATTACCTTGTGAGTAAGAGGTTTCCCATCACCTAATGGCTTCCCAGACAACACTTCAAACAGGTAGATAACTTAAAAAGTAAAAGGTGTAGTGTTAAATAACGAAATATATTATATTTACTAACTTTCAACATTTCTGTAGATCAGATATCTCTTTGCCAGACTTTCCAAATTCTTCACTAATTTTCCAAGCTCTCTTTTGTATTATATAATATAGAGGCTTATTACAGGGCAATTGACTGATGTGAACAACTGAAAAGTGAACTAAAATCTTTAAAAGTTGGTACATTATAAGCTGCTGACTACAAGAAAGTTTGAACACAGAAAATTTGACCCATTAAAATCCTTAAATATCAACCTTTCTTATCAAAGTTTTTATTTTAGCCACAATATTAAAACATACTACACTCATTCAGAGAAAAAAATGTTTTTTGCATTTCTGCCATCGTTCACTTGTTATAATTTTAATCTAAAATTATATTAACTAATTAACATTAGTCTAACAATTATATGAATTTCTAGATGGTGCAAGTGAATGTATAAATTAGTTTCGGATCATCAAGTTCACCCAGTTGGTGATGTTTTAAAGAGAGATCCCTCAGAAATGATCTGCCTTAGAGATGCATTACAACTCTATAAACATTCACGTGATTGCTCCCACCCCTCAAAAAAAAATCCATTAATTCCACAAACTTCTACCCCTGGCAAATAACTATTCATTTCTGTTTGTTATGGTTTCTATGAAAGAAAAAGGACTAGAAAGGGTGGCTTTTTTTTAAAAGGAAGAAGATGGAGAAAACTGTGATTCTCTTTTATAGTGCCCAAAGGCTCATCCAAGCCGTTTGCTGCTACACTCTGATAAGTTGCAACTGCTTTGTGGCCTGGAAACCACTAACAACTTTGCACTATCATAAATTGACATGAATTCACATGATATCGTCTTGAATATTTTACTTTTATATCATATCCAAATATCTAAATACTTTACTTTTGAATAACTTATACTTCTGGTTTGGCCAAAACAGCTCACAAAGAGGGAGAAAGGAGGAACAGGCTGACATACATTTCTAATAAATGTGGTCTGGACTATTCAAAGCTAGTGAAGAAAGTAATATCTCACCGTTACAAACATTTCTGTAAAAGTGTATATTATTAAGCAAAAATTCAACACAGGAAGATCATTAATAATATCAGACACACATCTCAGAGGTTTCATGATGTCACATTCCACCTGAACTTTGCCCTTATAAATTGTATGTTGCCATCTGAACCCTGTAATGCATGAATACTTTTATTCCAAAGGATGGCGCTGTTAATGTATTAATAATATGATATTGTGGGTTTCTTTCAGGATACAGGATGTTGGTTTGAGGTCGTTGGTTTCACTGGTAGAGGAAAAAAGGTTGTGAGAACAGGTGTTCTCCTGAGGTCGTTGGTTGCACTTGCAGAGGAGAAAGAAAAGGTTGTGTACAAGTGTTATTTTTTTGCAGATGGTTACACTTGCAAACAAAAATGAGTTTTACTTAGGTGTTTTGCTCTCATTTCTGTGCATGATTGTCAACATGACCTTAATTCGTGATCTTGGTATACACAGTACCTTTGCTCTCATGAAAGTAGAATATGAAATGAAGAGGATATTGTACAAACTACAACACACAATGTGAGGGCTGATATGTTTAATTATTCATCACTAGAAGATTTACCCAGCATTGTTTGGGTCCTTAACTCAAACAAGTTTTGTTTTTCTTCATTTAAATCATTGTTCAGAGGTGGGGCAGGGGATGGAAGGTTCAGTATGCAGGCAACCCTAAGGAGAGAGGACAACACCAGCCCTCTCTCACTATAGCAACCTGGGGCCAGGAGAGAAGCACCTCTCTATGGGGCTGCATCTTCAGCGGGCACAGCCAGGAGTGAGGTGCATGTCCCCTGGCTGGGGAACAGACAGGCAAACAAACAGACAAACTCTCTGAAATATGTAGTAGATAGTTGTTCCTTTCTCCACCCTTCCCTCTGGTGGCCCAATTGGGTTAGAGCTGTCCTACTCCTCATCTCTGGCCTTTGCTGCCTCCTTATGGTCATTCTGCAGTATAACTCCCTCCTATCAGACCCTTCCCTTTCTATTTTATGAGAAAAAAAATCAAATGCGATGCAGATCCCATTATCCTGGCAGAACCAAACCCTGGCCTTGATTTACGTCATGGTAAGAGGAAACTGCATATCAAATATGGTGGTCCTAGCTCTTACCATTTAGGAGGTGGTCTTCAACAAACAGACTCACAGACAGACAGGCAAACAGACAGACACACTTTTCTAAAATATATAGTAAGATGAATATCCAACTCAATCTGTAAAGCTTAGTAAGCGTTTTAGGAAAAACCCACATTTAGTATTTTGAAAATCCCAAGTCTCTGCAAGCATTTAAAACCAATGTTTTTAATGACAAGGGTTCTCTCTTATTTAGAAATATCCAGAAAAAGAAGATGGCTTTGTCTCCCTTTTCCCATAGTTTTCTACAGATTTAATAAAGATATTCCATTCTCTTGAAATAATCACTTGGAGTGATCAAAAGGGTATACGCCTGGTTCTGAGAACAGTATCTTCACCCCCCTTCCAAGCCTGTTTGAGCAGTGCAGTGGGCCAGGACCCAGTATTTGGGCCACTGACAAGGGACTCCTAGAAAACAAAGAAGGATCTGACTGAACAAGTTCTACCATGGGAAGCTACACATTTCACCTTCTTACATAGGAGATGAATAGGGATCTCTTTGTGGGCTTAAAAGGAATGGCCTAGTAGAGAAAAGCAATTTCAGGACACAGGGTTTCTGTCTCTCCCTGTGCTGGCCTTTGCAAGACTGTTTCACAGCTCTAGTAGACTTTTCCTCTAAAGAGAGAATCCTTTTCCACTGCCCCTATTGGAACCCCCACTGGCATAATCCTTTTTAGAGCTTGCTGATCCAACCAGCACAGGATGTACAGACCCCTCCTTTGATAAGGTACTGAAAGTGATTGATTAGCTCAAGCTTATAACTACGTGTCAAGACTTGCAGAGTGAGCCTGCAACAGAGTGAAAGAAGCAACAGAAGAGGAACAAGAGTGAGTGCCCTCAAAAGCATGTGTGCATGTAGATAACATATGATATTTATACAAACATTGTATTTAAAAATACCCATAGCAGAAGCCATAATTTGTCCCTGCTGTACCAAAGAGCAGCACAGCAATAAAATGAAATATCTTTATATGTACAATATAATAAAATTAAGAAAATGTTATCTCAAAAGTAAAATGCATCTGTCATCTACATGTGTATAATTTATGGTTAGTCAATGCTTCTCTCTGAATAATTTATAGTGAAATGTGACTTTACTAATGAAAATCCATTTTAATTTTTACATTTAAAATTTTATAATTTTTAATATCCTTTTTCTAATGTTACTTTCTCCTAAAGAATACTTTCATAAAAGAAATAAAACAGGTAAAAAATTTATATTGATACGCTGAAAATAATGGTTGGAAATGGAATAAAGTGTTTATTGCCCCACAAAAGATAAGAGTCTAAAACTGGAGGTTGAACTAAGCAATGAGAAAGAGCACAACTCCCCTCACCCAAATACAAAGGCAGAGCCCTTCTCTCCTCTGTTTTAGGGAAGTGCTTCTTTAAATGTTCATAGAAACTTTGGTTTTCATGACCCTTTCTGTTCTTTGCACAAGTACTCTGAGTTTTTTCCCTAGAACAAAAGAAGGCAAATTTGCTGCTTATTTGCAAGGTAAGGAAGTCTAAACCTGAACTTGTTGAAAACCAAGTTAATATTATCTTGGAAATGGGACCACTTCTGAAGGTTAATCTAATGGCAGTTGATCGTCTTCGGAGTCTAGTTGTGGCCTTAGAGAAGCAAATCCAAAACTCACTGCTCTCATTAGTCCTGTAGAATTCTGAAGTTGGTATCATTGGGCTAAGACAACCCTGAAGTGTATAACACTATTCCAAGAACCTGATTATAAAATGGGACAAATTTACTTGAAAATGTGCAGAGAATT